TATATATATATATATATATTTTTTTTTTTAATGAAATTTATTCCTGTGATGGCCAAGCTGAATTTTCAGCATCCATTAATCCAGACTTTAGAGTCACTTGATCCTTCAGAAATCATTCAAATATGCTGGTGTGGTAATTTCTTGTTATTATCAATGCTGAAAACAGTTGTGCTTATTGATATTTTTGAGGAAATCATGTAACCAAAAAAAAATAAAGGAAATCTTACTGACCCCAAACAGTAGAAGCTGTAAAAGCATTGTCCATTGCTAGCTAGTTTATGAGACCTAATGCATTAACTAGTGTAAATGATGTGAAACCTTATTGTAAAGCGTTACCATTGAGTGTTTACTGAGACTCTATAAAACAGCAACAAAACTTTCCTGTACTCCTCTTGTCTTTTTCATCAGCTTTCACAGGACAGATACAGTTTTAAATTTAACTACATATGTTTGTTTAGATCTGTCCTTAGGTTGCACAGGAGACAAGAGGAGAGAATTATGGGACAAAACCGACAATTTCATACTCTTATTTATAAGCACAGAACATCTGGCAAGCAGACAGCCAAAGAAATCAGCAGATCCAAAGTTTCAACATTTCCTCACACTCTACAGGAGCGATTTAGTTGTGTTTATGCCTCTTGTAGAGCATGGAGAGAAGGGACAAAATATGGTAGGGTGAAGTGGAAAGGAACAAACACTCCAAACAAGTGAGTAAATATAAAAGTAATGAACATATTAGGCCACATAAGCCACAGAGAAACAAAGACAGAAAAGTGTTACTGCAAACACCAAGAAGCTGCAAGCAATGAGGGATGATGCACTGGAGGGGATCCTTCAGAAAGAAAGAGAAAGGAAGAAAAGAGAAAAAGAAAAAGAGGGAGGCACATCCCCAAGCATGCGATGCTTATGAATTGAAGTGCAGGCAGTTGTTCAGGTGTCTTACCTGCGCATGCAGTCGAGGGCCTGGGTGAAGACCTGCGGGGCCATGCCGTGCTCGTGCTGCAGGATCAGACACTGCTCCAAAGTCACTGACATAGCAGTGCGGTCTTTGGCACTTTTACAGCTGGTAAAACGTACTCCATTCAGTCGCCGACAAATCTGAGTGTGAAGGGGCACATATATTGTGTTACAGCCAACTACATATTCACACTTATTCCAGTTTGGCATTCAAGTGTCTTTTGAAATGGAACTAGAACCACTTAAAACATCTTAAATGCAAACTCTGTTGGTACTGTGCTGAACTAAAACAAATGATTTTTTTTGACTACATATGTTCATTTGTTATTAAGGGTGCACCAATTAACGCAGTGGTTCTCAATCCTTTTTGACTTCAAGGCCCCTCATGATCCAACACAATTTTCGAAGGTCCCTAATATTGGCTAAGACAGGTATTAGTGTATTTGTATTTGAATATATGACGTATTTGTGCAGTAATTATGATAATACACCTTGTTTTCAAACTTTATTATTAGCAGAAACTGGGAGTGTTGATATACTGAATTAAAGATAAATCATTTTGTGATCACAGAACAACAAAGATTCTAATTCTGTATATTATTTAATAATAAAAATAGTTTTTGAGGAAGGAATAAAGAAACATGATTTCAGGTTGATATTTTGTGATTTTAGATTTTTTAAGTAAATAATTTAAGTCTTCCTTAATGGGCCCCTTTGGAAGTTTCACAAGGCCCCCTCTGGTTGAAAACCACTGAGTTAAGCAATGTTTTTACACTTATTGGGCCTCATTCATGAAACACAAGCGGAACTAATTTTTGTGTAAATCATTTGGAAAGTCGTTCTGACGTAAGTTTTCAGATTCATGAAAATGTTCGTATTTTGAAAATATTAGTTGATACGAAATAAATTTACACCTGCTCCCTACCACGTGTAAATGGTGCATAAAACATTCAAACGTTCTGTATTCTTTTAGACAAACATTTAACGAGTTCATTTGCCCTGTCCTTTTTTTTTCTTTCATTTTTTACTCTTTAACTTTGGGTAAAAACGCAGAGCTCCTCACTTTCCCTTTTTACACAGCCGTCCAATCACAGTGGAGGAGGGGCGGGACAAACACTACATTGACCAACCATCAAACTTGTACAACACATCAATGGAGAAGTTAATATTGCTGGTTACTGCATTTTTATATTCAATTATATTCTTCAAAATAAGATACTCATAACATGTTACTGCCGTGAATATAACGTAGCAAACAACGCGTCACTCCAATAAATTGCAGTGCCTCCAAAGCTCCACCAGCTGGTCGTTTTCAGAAGAGCACCAGGCATTATGTTAGCTGGCTAAAAACGCTCTGGTGGACACGTTAATTTATTAATTTATTATTAGGCATATAGCCTATTAGTCTCTTATGCATTTATGCAATATAACTTGCCAAACTTGAGAATTGACTACAAAGGATTCCACACCATTCCTAGATACGTAATTTGCGTAGCTGTAATTCATAGGCGGGGAATATGCTAATTGTGAATGAGCGTGCATGCGCACCCTATTTAGGAATGATTGGACTTCATTAACACACACACGTTTAACTATCAAATCTGACCTTTAGGAAGTATTTGTGAATCCGGAGGAGAGTTTTCGGGATGGTCTGTTTTACACATAAATTACTCAGAATTTACTCATATATTTACGAATGTTTCATGAATGAGGCCCATTATATGCATTTTAAAAGTTAGATTTCAGCTTAACTTAAACAATAATTAGTTTTTTTTTAAATGTCTTGTAAACCGACTGAAATCATAATTATCAGACTACAATTGACCTCAATGTTGTGCGCTTGTGTCAAAAGCCAGAGGTGACGTGCGATGCGTATTCTTAGACACTTTAGCTCGACTTCACAAAACCTGTAGCTTAATTATAACTGCACATGGAAAATTACTGAATGTGATCAGCCAATATACCTGTACAAGCATTACGCCTATGTGCATGAAGCTGTAGCAAAATGCATCAATGCAAATGACATTTCGTAAAATGTCGACTTCTATTGGATTATCAGTATCTAAGATTTATTTGACTTTTTTTCAGGGTTTTGTTTAGCTTTTTTCTCTTTGTCTAACTGTACAATAATTAAATGATAAATTGCTGTGATTTCACCTCAAAACAAAAACACATTTAATATTTCTATTTTCAGAGGTGTCAGTACAAATGAGATGAGCCAAATGAGATGTTTTTGCACTCGAACATGGATTCTACTGTATTTCGGACATGAAAACTATGGGTGATGTTTTTTTTCTACGTTTTTTTTTTAATGAGAATAGTTTAAAATGAAATCAATGCTAAATGGGTTTGCGCAATTCTTTGAATATAATTTAGTTGTTTCACCCTTTATTGTGTCACATTAGGGGCCCTATTTTAAAGATCTAAGCGCATGGTTTAAAGCGCACTGCGCAATTGCGCTTAGGGCGTATCCGAATCCACTTTTGCTAGTTTAAGGACGGGAAAAATGGTCGGCACGCACGGCGCATGGTCTAAAAGGGTTGTCCCTATTCTCTTAATGAGTAATGGGTGTGTTTTGGGCGTAACGTGCCATAAACCAATCAGAGTCTCATCTCCCATTCCCTTTAAAAGCCAGTTGCGCTCGCGCCATGGCGGATTCGCTATTTACATGGCAGAATTTGCAAGCACAGCGCAGTGGCAGACCATGCACAGTGCATTGTGGGCAATACTTTTACTTAACATCTAATTTATTAACCTTGGTTAATTAATTAGATATTATGAACTAACAATGAAGAACAGTTTTTACAGCATTTATTTTTATCTACTTAAGGTAAATGTTAATTTGTAAATTTATTATTCTTTACGTTGTTAGAATACTTTAATTTGATTACTTTTTAATATAGTTTGATCATAATATACTAAGTAATCCTAATTTATACAAATCATAATTTATATTAGTATACAACGTTCAAAAGTCAATAACATTTGTATGTCTTTTAAAGTCCATTACTCTCACCAAGGCTGATTTTATTTGAGCAAACATACAGCAAAACAATAATATTGTGAACCTTTTTTACAATTTAAAATAGATTTATATATATATATATATATATATATATTTTTTTTTTTAATGAAATTTATTCCTGTGATGGCCAAGCTGAATTTTCAGCATCCATTAATCCAGACTTTAGAGTCACTTGATCCTTCAGAAATCATTCAAATATGCTGGTGTGGTAATTTCTTGTTATTATCAATGCTGAAAACAGTTGTGCTTATTGATATTTTTGAGGAAATCATGTAACCAAAAAAAAATAAAGGAAATCTTACTGACCCCAAACAGTAGAAGCTGTAAAAGCATTGTCCATTGCTAGCTAGTTTATGAGACCTAATGCATTAACTAGTGTAAATGATGTGAAACCTTATTGTAAAGCGTTACCATTGAGTGTTTACTGAGACTCTATAAAACAGCAACAAAACTTTCCTGTACTCCTCTTGTCTTTTTCATCAGCTTTCACAGGACAGATACAGTTTTAAATTTAACTACATATGTTTGTTTAGATCTGTCCTTAGGTTGCACAGGAGACAAGAGGAGAGAATTATGGGACAAAACCGACAATTTCATACTCTTATTTATAAGCACAGAACATCTGGCAAGCAGACAGCCAAAGAAATCAGCAGATCCAAAGTTTCAACATTTCCTCACACTCTACAGGAGCGATTTAGTTGTGTTTATGCCTCTTGTAGAGCATGGAGAGAAGGGACAAAATATGGTAGGGTGAAGTGGAAAGGAACAAACACTCCAAACAAGTGAGTAAATATAAAAGTAATGAACATATTAGGCCACATAAGCCACAGAGAAACAAAGACAGAAAAGTGTTACTGCAAACACCAAGAAGCTGCAAGCAATGAGGGATGATGCACTGGAGGGGATCCTTCAGAAAGAAAGAGAAAGGAAGAAAAGAGAAAAAGAAAAAGAGGGAGGCACATCCCCAAGCATGCGATGCTTATGAATTGAAGTGCAGGCAGTTGTTCAGGTGTCTTACCTGCGCATGCAGTCGAGGGCCTGGGTGAAGACCTGCGGGGCCATGCCGTGCTCGTGCTGCAGGATCAGACACTGCTCCAAAGTCACTGACATAGCAGTGCGGTCTTTGGCACTTTTACAGCTGGTAAAACGTACTCCATTCAGTCGCCGACAAATCTGAGTGTGAAGGGGCACATATATTGTGTTACAGCCAACTACATATTCACACTTATTCCAGTTTGGCATTCAAGTGTCTTTTGAAATGGAACTAGAACCACTTAAAACATCTTAAATGCAAACTCTGTTGGTACTGTGCTGAACTAAAACAGATGATTTTTTTTGACTACATATGTTCATTTGTTATTAAGGGTGCACCAATTAACGCAGTGGTTCTCAATCCTTTTTGACTTCAAGGCCCCTCATGATCCAACACAATTTTCGAAGGTCCCTAATATTGGCTAAGACAGGTATTAGTGTATTTGTATTTGAATATATGACGTATTTGTGCAGTAATTATGATAATACACCTTGTTTTCAAACTTTATTATTAGCAGAAACTGGGAGTGTTGATATACTGAATTAAAGATAAATCATTTTGTGATCACAGAACAACAAAGATTCTAATTCTGTATATTATTTAATAATAAAAATAGTTTTTGAGGAAGGAATAAAGAAACATGATTTCAGGTTGATATTTTGTGATTTTAGATTTTTTAAGTAAATAATTTAAGTCTTCCTTAATGGGCCCCTTTGGAAGTTTCACAAGGCCCCCTCTGGTTGAAAACCACTGAGTTAAGCAATGTTTTTACACTTATTGGGCCTCATTCATGAAACACAAGCGGAACTAATTTTTGTGTAAATCATTTGGAAAGTCGTTCTGACGTAAGTTTTCAGATTCATGAAAATGTTCGTATTTTGAAAATATTAGTTGATACGAAATAAATTTACACCTGCTCCCTACCACGTGTAAATGGTGCATAAAACATTCAAACGTTCTGTATTCTTTTAGACAAACATTTAACGAGTTCATTTGCCCTGTCCTTTTTTTTTTTTTCATTTTTTACTCTTTAACTTTGGGTAAAAATGCAGAGCTCCTCACTTTCCCTTTTTACACAGCCGTCCAATCACAGTGGAGGAGGGGCGGGACAAACACTACATTGACCAACCATCAAACTTGTACAACACATCAATGGAGAAGTTAATATTGCTGGTTACTGCATTTTTATATTCAATTATATTCTTCAAAATAAGATACTCATAACATGTTACTGCCGTGAATATAACGTAGCAAACAACGCGTCACTCCAATAAATTGCAGTGCCTCCAAAGCTCCACCAGCTGGTCGTTTTCAGAAGAGCACCAGGCATTATGTTAGCTGGCTAAAAACGCTCTGGTGGACACGTTAATTTATTAATTTATTATTAGGCATATAGCCTATTAGTCTCTTATGCATTTATGCAATATAACTTGCCAAACTTGAGAATTGACTACAAAGGATTCCACACCATTCCTAGATACGTAATTTGCGTAGCTGTAATTCATAGGCGGGGAATATGCTAATTGTGAATGAGCGTGCATGCGCACCCTATTTAGGAATGATTGGACTTCATTAACACACACACGTTTAACTATCAAATCTGACCTTTAGGAAGTATTTGTGAATCCGGAGGAGAGTTTTCGGGATGGTCTGTTTTACACATAAATTACTCAGAATTTACTCATATATTTACGAATGTTTCATGAATGAGGCCCATTATATGCATTTTAAAAGTTAGATTTCAGCTTAACTTAAACAATAATTAGTTTTTTTTTAAATGTCTTGTAAACCGACTGAAATCATAATTATCAGACTACAATTGACCTCAATGTTGTGCGCTTGTGTCAAAAGCCAGAGGTGACGTGCGATGCGTATTCTTAGACACTTTAGCTCGACTTCACAAAACCTGTAGCTTAATTATAACTGCACATGGAAAATTACTGAATGTGATCAGCCAATATACCTGTACAAGCATTACGCCTATGTGCATGAAGCTGTAGCAAAATGCATCAATGCAAATGACATTTCGTAAAATGTCGACTTCTATTGGATTATCAGTATCTAAGATTTATTTGACTTTTTTTCAGGGTTTTGTTTAGCTTTTTTCTCTTTGTCTAACTGTACAATAATTAAATGATAAATTGCTGTGATTTCACCTCAAAACAAAAACACATTTAATATTTCTATTTTCAGAGGTGTCAGTACAAATGAGATGAGCCAAATGAGATGTTTTTGCACTCGAACATGGATTCTACTGTATTTCGGACATGAAAACTATGGGTGATGTTTTTTTTCTACGTTTTTTTTTTAATGAGAATAGTTTAAAATGAAATCAATGCTAAATGGGTTTGCGCAATTCTTTGAATATAATTTAGTTGTTTCACCCTTTATTGTGTCACATTAGGGGCCCTATTTTAAAGATCTAAGCGCATGGTTTAAAGCGCACTGCGCAATTGCGCTTAGGGCGTATCCGAATCCACTTTTGCTAGTTTAAGGACGGGAAAAATGGTCGGCACGCACGGCGCATGGTCTAAAAGGGTTGTCCCTATTCTCTTAATGAGTAATGGGTGTGTTTTGGGCGTAACGTGCCATAAACCAATCAGAGTCTCATCTCCCATTCCCTTTAAAAGCCAGTTGCGCTCGCGCCATGGCGGATTCGCTATTTACATGGCAGAATTTGCAAGCGGAAAAACTGAACGCTTCTCTACTGAGGGAACGGATCTGTTTGTGCACGTAATTCTGATAAATGCAAAGACAATGAGGCCCATTATATGCATTTTAAAAGTTAGATTTCAGCTTAACTTAAACAATAATTAGTTTTTTTTTAAATGTCTTGTAAACCGACTGAAATCATAATTATCAGACTACAATTGACCTCAATGTTGTGCGCTTGTGTCAAAAGCCAGAGGTGACGTGCGATGCGTATTCTTAGACACTTTAGCTCGACTTCACAAAACCTGTAGCTTAATTATAACTGCACATGGAAAATTACTGAATGTGATCAGCCAATATACCTGTACAAGCATTACGCCTATGTGCATGAAGCTGTAGCAAAATGCATCAATGCAAATGACATTTCGTAAAATGTCGACTTCTATTGGATTATCAGTATCTAAGATTTATTTGACTTTTTTTCAGGGTTTTGTTTAGCTTTTTTCTCTTTGTCTAACTGTACAATAATTAAATGATAAATTGCTGTGATTTCACCTCAAAACAAAAACACATTTAATATTTCTATTTTCAGAGGTGTCAGTACAAATGAGATGAGCCAAATGAGATGTTTTTGCACTCGAACATGGATTCTACTGTATTTCGGACATGAAAACTATGGGTGATGTTTTTTTTCTACGTTTTTTTTTTAATGAGAATAGTTTAAAATGAAATCAATGCTAAATGGGTTTGCGCAATTCTTTGAATATAATTTAGTTGTTTCACCCTTTATTGTGTCACATTAGGGGCCCTATTTTAAAGATCTAAGCGCATGGTTTAAAGCGCACTGCGCAATTGCGCTTAGGGCGTATCCGAATCCACTTTTGCTAGTTTAAGGACGGGAAAAATGGTCGGCCCGCCAGGCGCATGGTCTAAAAGGGTTGTCCCTATTCTCTTAATGAGTAATGGGTGTGTTTTGGGCGTAACGTGCCATAAACCAATCAGAGTCTCATCTCCCATTCCCTTTAAAAGCCAGTTGCGCTCGTGCCATGGCGGATTCGCTATTTACATGGCAGAATTTGCAAGCGGAAAAACTGAACGCTTCTCTACTGAGGGAACGGATCTGTTTGTGCACGTAATTCTGATAAATGCAAAGACTATCCATTATGACATGTAGGCATTTTTATATTTATGTACACAATTCAATAATAATCTTTTACATTTTAATCCTTTAATTTTTCATTTTTAAAAATGTTTGTGCTGCTGCGCATCCATGTGTGTGTAATAAGCAAAGTGTACGCGCATTGTGCACCCGCCTATAGGCGCATATTACTAACACGCTCTTTAAATAGCAAAAAAAAAAATATTGCACCAGACTTTAGACCAGGTTTTTGTTGGTCAATGGCGCAGTCCATTTCAGTTGCCTCAAAATAGCAACGCACCAGCAATGCGCCTGAACACACCTCGTTTTCAGACCAGCACGCCCATGGGTGCAAATGTATTTGCTATTTAAACAACGTGGCGCAGGATGTGAAAATGACAACTGGGTCGGGCTGAAACTAGCAAAAAACACTTGCGTCGCGCCTGGCGCCGGATGTATGATAGGGCCCTAAGTAGGAGAACTGTTACCTCTGCAGCCTGCCACAAGATGTCTACATTTTTATTTTTCCTAGCATGAACATTTTGACCAAGGAACCGCAACAGCTCTGGGAGGCACGTCTGACTACGAGAGCGAGGAAGACCTATGAGAGAGAGAAAATTAAAACCAGAGTGACTTGCATAATTCAAATCTTGCAATAATTTATTTTTTATTATGTAGAGAGGGAAAAAAACATGAGAGAGAGTGATGACTTACAGTCATCAGGTAAAACCTCTTTGAACTGCTGGTAGTAAGAGCTAAGACGTGCCAGGCTCTCCACATTGATGAGCTCCTGAAGCAACGTGTCTCCAAACCTACGACACAAACATTTTGAATTCCCTTTAGATATCTTCAATATGAACACAAGTGTATGCCAAACTGAAAAAGAGATCAGATAAAACAAACAATTATGATATCATGTTATTTGTTGATGTTATGCAAGCACTCTTGAGGGGTGTTTTACATAATCAGGACTCACTTCTCGGCGAGCGTTTGCTGCTCGTTGATGCCCACGTTGAACAGCACCGGCTGTACCCGCAGCAGCATGCCATTCTGGATCTCCCTTGGCAATGCATCAAACATGCTTCCCGGGAGCGGGATGCGAACATTGAACCCGTCTCGATTTCCGGTGATCACAGGCAGCATGTCGGGGGAAGAGGTAGAGATGGCCTGTGTCACCTTGAATGTCACATTCCGCAGGTCCATTATTCCTATGCTCATGTCCCCTAACATGGCTAACTCCTCTCCTGGGAAACACACACACACAACAAAGCAAAATCACTGTACCCAGTGCAGTGTGATTCAAAACAGAGTGCTTCACTCACATAGAAATAATGAAGAAGAACTGTGCCCTAAATGAGTTTATATAACAAGTGCTTTGATTCAGTGGTCACTGTGTATCCAGTTGCAAAGTATGGGCATACTATATGCGAGTAAGTGTGTGTTTACCGTAAGTACTTAATAGACACTCGAACTGAGCAAGCAGACCGATGGTGTAAAGCTGTCTCAGGAAACCGTCGTCACGGAGACAGTTTCTCAGTTTGATGATGAAGCCACAAATTAGTGCTGTGAGCTTAAGAGAGGCAAAAAGACAGAGCAAGAAGACATGTCAGAGAATTACAGAAAAACAGACCATTCATCCAAAACTTTGACATTATGAAAAGTTCATAAAGACATTGTAAAAGAAATCCGTATCAATCAAGCAATTTATTCAAAGTTTTCTCAATTGTACATTTGTAAACTACATGAACTATACACATGTAAATATCTGTACATTCATTAAAACAATTACATGTTTTTACTCTATATTGCTACTATTATATAGCATTATTTAATTTTTAGTTTTTCTTATATTAGTGTTATATTTCTTCTCTACTGTGTAATTCCTATGCATGTCTGCACTATCATGTATGTTTGCACTATGTCTGTACTTTCTTCTGCACTGGAAGCTCCTGTAGCCAAGACAAATTCCTTGTGTGTGTAAACACACTTAGCAATTAAGCTCTTTCTGACTTCTGACTTAAAGAGACATCATCACTTTATACGATGAAAAGATTTGATTCACTGATCAGTGCACATACATTGAGCATGATAAATATGGTAAACACAAGCTCAAACTTGCTTGCTAATGAGGTTTGTTCTTGTGTGTCAAGCAAGTGCGGTTGAACTGCCGTTCACCATATTTGATGTGCTCTATGATGTGTTAAACAATGTTTTTAGATGTAAATAAAAGCCTAAATGAAATCTGTTCATCATATAAAGCAACCGTTTCTCTTCAGAAGGCTTGAATTTAACTGCTCGATTCATTTCAGTTTCTTTTACAGTCTCTCACTGAATTGACTTTCAATTCAGTGGCAGACATCTCTCAGGTTTTATTAAAAATATCTTCATTTGTGTTTTAAAGATGAACCAAAGTCTTCTAGGCTTGGAAAGACATGAGGTCGAGTAAATGATTTTTAAGTGTGAACTATTCCTTTAAGGTCATGGAAGTGTTCACTAATATGTGTGTTTTAGAACTAACTGTCTGGCAGAAGACCACGTCTCGGCGGTACTGCAGGTTGAGGTCCATTGCGATGGTGGGTGCACTGTCTTGCATGAGCAAGAAAACCATTGACTTCTTGGCTTTGTCACTCATCATGGCCACACACTCTGTTAGGGTTGTCAAGAGGGGATACAGGGCTTCGCTCCACTCACCTGACACACAAAGAGAATCTGCTGCTATTATCTTTATTAAACATGACATCTTCATGTTTCTTTAAAATCTCATGTTTCACTTTAAAGACCCCATGAAATCAAAATTTAAAGTTTTGTTGCTTTTAGTCTGTGTATTAATCCAATAAGAATAATTCCATCATCATTTACTTACCCTCCTGTGGTTCCAAAACCATTAGACTTTCATTTATCTTTGAAACACAAGGAAACGGCAAGGAAACCTGAAAGATTTTTGTCCCTCCATTGAAATTACATTCCATCAAAGATTCAAGTTCATTAAAGACATAGTAAAAGTAATCCATATGAATCGAACAATTTATGCTCAACAAATAAATGGTAAACTGAAGCTTGCGCAATGTGTGAGAACCAGTGAACTCAAGTTTGAAGAACCAATTAGGTTTGACCTTCCGTTGACCATTTGATGTGCTCTATGTATATAATCAATGTTTATATGTGAATAAAAGCCTACATTAAAGGGATTGTGTCTCTTTAGAAGGCTTGATTAAAAAGCTTGATTCATATGGATTACATTTTGTGATTTTTTTAAATGAACTTAAGGTTTTGGGGGACAAAAATCTCTCAGGTTTCGTTTAAAATATGTTCATATATGTTTTGAAGATGAACGAAAGTCTTATGGGATTGGAACGACATGACTGAATTTTCATTTTTGGGAGAACTAACCCTTTAACATTTGATCATTTCTATACTAGTTTAATTGTAAACATTTACAAAAATTGCTTTTAGAAGATATATGCCTATAAAAATTGCAATCCCTGTCTTTCAAGAATACAGACTCAAAAAAACTTTTTTCTAATCAAATTTCTAGAACTGGAATGTCTGTTCCCCCAAAAAATTTAAAATACCACTAGACTAAATATGCTTCCCATCAGAGTGATTTACATTTAGTATAAACTAAACGCTATTGGACATTTAAAAAAAAAAACTCTTTGATACGTCTTGCCCCGACTTCCTGTTTAAATAAAAAATGTCAATACAGTGGGGGTAACCAATTCACGGGGACTTTAAAGGTAACCAAGGACACAGAGTTCAGGAAACAGTAGCAATGACAAGTTTACAAGTAACACCATTAACAAGGATGAACAACAACAGATGTGACAAAAGTGAACACTTATTCAGCGCAAGCGCATAAGCCTAAGGGAGGGGGAGGGGCTCTTACCTGGGTAACTCTCCTCTCCACTGCTGCTGCTGCCATCTATAGGGATGGAGGTGCAACATGCAACGGTTAACTTAGCGAGTGCAACTAGCATAGCACACGCAGCTCACAGACATTGAACGCAACGTAAGACAGCAGAAACTTTAAAATGAAGATTTAACAGCTACTTCTCCACTCAAATACAAAGTGGAATGTTGCAAAGGATTGTCTAGAAGTAATATGCAAGTAAGTAATATTCACAGCTGCCTGGCAAGCTAATGATTTCATAGTCATTATATAATGTAAAAGACAACTGTAAATCACAGCATGCTGGCACTGCCAAGTGACTAACTGGCACAGACAGCCAGCACCAGACAGCCAGCCTGTGAGCCTGTTGACCAGCCAGCCAATCAAACGAGAGCACCCGGTCACATGTTCACAGTAGGCAAATATGCTGGGTCAAACAACAGAATGTTCCAGAAACATGTTCCAGAGACATGGCACATCAACAGAGAGTCACACAGAGACAACACACACTCGTTAACATAAACTGTGGAATGCACTTGGATGTCAGTTTTTCCATACATTCATATTGCTTTGTTTTGGCAAAAGGTAAACAAATATACACATATGTGACCCTGGACCACAAAACCAATCATAAGGGTCAGTTTTTTTAAATTGAGATTTATACATCATCTGAAAGCTAAATAAATAAGCTTTCTATAGATGTATGGTTTGTTAGGATAGGACAATATTTGGCCGAGATACAACTATTTGAAAATCTGGAATCTGAGGGAGCAAAAAAATCAAAATACTGAGAAAATCGCCTTTAAAGTTGTTCGAATTAAGTTCTTAGCAATGCATTTTACTAATGAAAAATTAAGTTTTTATATATTTATGGTAGGAAATGTACAAAATATCTTCATGGAACATGATCTTTACTTAATATCCTAATGATTTTTGGCATAAAATAAAAATCGATAATTTTGACCCATACAATGTATTTTTGGCTATTGCTACAAATATACCCCAGCGACTTAAGACTGGTTTTGTGGTCCAGGGTCACATATTACTAGACTCTTTAAAATCAGACACACATATACAACGATGTACCATAGATACCTAGGTAAAAAAATAAAGATGATGAGGTGGATTAGAAACAATGAGAGAAGAATTTCTAGCCACAACCAGTCAAGTTAGCGTAATATAAATGCTTGTTGCTATGGCAGCATGCAAACCTGTTTGAAGATGAACAGGTGACAGGGTTCATGAAAAACAGAGACTGAAAGTGTAATAACTAGAAATAGAAAGAAGAAATGAGTATGTACATGTTAGTGTGTGTACCACTATGCAAATACAAGGGACAAGCAGCAGAGAATGTGAAGCAGAGTGCAGAAAGGCAAAATAATATAAGACTCTGCCTACTAGACTCCATGCTGTTCTCAAAAATATAACAGAGAGAGGCACCTACAGGCATGTGTTTCTGCATTAACATGGCATGCAGGGTTCAGATCGGGTGGTGAAGATGATGGTGACGGCGATAGTGAAGGCGACTGCTGTTGCGGTTCAGGGACCGAGGAAGGCTCCTCCATGCAGACAGGGTTGATCCAGAAGGCTTTTGTTTTCCCATTACCTTTCTTACTGGTGCCACTTTGCTGGTCAGTCTGGAACATGTCCTCACTGCTGCTGCTGTGCAGACGGTCCCTCTGCAGCAGTTTATCCACTCGCTGGATGATACACTCTAGACTTTTGTCAACATTCCCCCACACCTTTTCCTGTAACAAAGAAACTTTTTGTACAAAGTACAAATTTTGGGCACAAAAACATGCATTTAAACATTTTTAAACAGAATGATGCACTCATTCAGAGATTTCTGTCCCCCCAAACTTTAACACTTCAAAAAATTCATAACAACACAGTAAAAGTAATCCATCTGAATCGAGTAGTTTCTTCTGAAGAGACACAATCACTTTATATGATGAACATATTTAATTTAGGCTTTTATTTACATTGATAAATGGTCAAAGTTGTGTATTTGCTGTGTTTTATGTGTAAGACAATGAAAGCATGCATTTTTATAATAATAATAATAATAATAATGTTTATTGTTTTAGGAAAAACAGTTAGTTTAGGGATTTTTGGGGAGTATTTTCTTTATCTGGGTTTCAATTTTCTTCATTGAGCAAACCTGATAAAATGAAACTTTAACCCAAACCAAAACCTTATCAAATTGATAAACTGATCAAACGTGACAGTAAAACTTTAACACTGTCAAAAAAAAAGAAATTTTGTTTTTTTAAATGATCACAATACAATTTTTCATATCAGTCGATATCGATAATTATCACGATCAATTTCAAATCTTTATTTCTTTCAAGTTTAAAGGCAGATTTTTGCTCCTAAGTGAAAGTTGTAGAAACCAGACCATTAATTGTGGTTTTAAATGACTCTTTATGGTCAGAACATGATAAACACTTCACATTGTTGAATTCACATTTGGAACACTCTTCCAGTAATTTTTCCTTAACAAAATAAATATATTAATATAAAAAAAATGTTCTTAGCTTCTGCATGTTCTAATGAGTGATAGTTTCAAATCATGAACCAGGTTTGTGTTGCCTGACTTTGATGACACGTATCTTCAGCACAGTTTGCAGTGCAGGCTGCAATATTAATAATATTACATTTTTTTGGTCTCTTAGAAATGCATATTTGACAGTAGTTTGAGTTGAGTTGACAGTAGTAGCTTGAATTAGGATGCAGATGTAAATTTATTTTCATTATCAAAAACAGTAACGACTGTAAACATTGTCACAACCTCATTTTTATATGATGAAATTTAATTATTCTGACTGTTTGAGTTTTACTAACATTAACCACTGGTCTTCCATAGTAGCATACATTTAGATCATGATAACCACAGTTAAACCACACATAAAGCACCTCAATACCATGGTAAAAATTTAACTTTATGGTTTTCTAGGTATTTGTATGAAAAACAGTAGTCTAAATACATTTAGTATAAATGCACAAACACTATAACTTAAAAACAAAAAATGCTGTAATTATATTCCATTACTCCTTTAATATGTCTACATTAATAATATAATAAAATTCGATATGAATATCCCACATTTCTGCCACAATACCATGGCGCTGTTTAGTGCTTGCGTGACTTAGACTTATCAGCGAGTAAACGCATCTACTCTAGTGAGATCGCGCTGCGCTGCCGTTTGAACTTTGAGTCGAGCGGAAATGAATAGTGCCGTTTCGTTCCACTTTTGGCACATAAACATTATATCGAACAGTTATCAAACTCTTGTTATCGTTTTATCGAGGAAAATTATATCGCGAGAATTATAGTTATCGTTTTATCGCCCAGCCCTTTTATTCATTAAAGAATACTAAAAAAAATTTAACATGATATGCACCAAATATTAAGCAGAACAACAGTTTTCAACAATGATAATTATAAGAAATGTTTCTTGCACACCAAAATTAGCATATTAGAATTTTTTTTGAAGGATCATGTGAAATTGTGAAGACTGGAGTAATGATGCTGAAAATTCAGCTTTGCCATCACAGGAATAAATTACATTTTAAAAATATACTAAAATAGACAATAGTTAAAGATATGACTACTACACAATATGACGACTTTTACTGTATTTTTTTTTTAGCAGATAAATGCTTGGTAAGCATGAGAGACTTCTTTCAAAAACGTATTGACTCCAAACTTTTGAATGGTAGTATAGATGTGTCAAGATTAACAATAGATCTGAACACATTTACACCAGATTACAAACGATTTTGATTTATATATCCAAACTGCTGTCAGGGAATAGTGAAAATCTTGTGTAAATATTGTCTGTACATTTTTTTAAACTTTAGTTAAAGGATTTTTTTATAGCTTACTTTTAATGGATATGTTACAATGCATTTGCTGTTAACAGGCCTCTAAAACTTTCTTACCCACTCTTCCTCATGCCAATCAACTTGGAGGGATGAACGACTGTTCCTGCCACTCCATTTGGCCAGTAGAGTGTCCTGATCATTCCTCAGCACCACCTGCTCTGAATCAGCAGAGGGTGAGTTTTTAGAGGCAATGTACTCGGGTCTAGCTGCGTTCAAGGCCTGCACTGCAGACGCCAGCAGTTTACAGTCACACACCATCACCAGTTGTCGTGTCTGACAGTGAGAGAGAAAAAGGGGTTATAGTGTCTGCCTCAGACAACACTGGGTCCAAGTTAGAAAAATGAAATGTGTTATTTTGTATCGTCAAATGGATATAAAGTACTTTGACACCCACCTTATCCGCTAGGATGGCGAGGGTTCTCTCCATGCCGTTAGCGGAGCGTTCTTTAGCGGCGCGAGACAGGCGCTCAGCGTAGTAGCTGACCTGAGTCTTGAACGTGTTGATATGGGAGATGATCTCTTTGGCACGGACAATATCCTGAGGGATGTAGACGATGGACTGGGAGCTGGACAGAGCACTGCTGCTGGACCAGAGAGAGCTTGGTTAATTAAACACACACCAAACAAGCAATAAATACACACCACTACATTAGTGCACAACAACAGACAGATAATGATTGTGCATTTCATTCAGACAGTGATGCTCCAGAGACTATGACAAGCACCAAACACTTCAGGGTCCTCAATCTTGATTTTTTAGAGCAAAGAGAGCAAGGTGCTCAGGGATGACAGATCTGTTTCACTAAGTGCTTCTGTACAATACAAAGGAACAGCAACAGTGGAGTGTGTTTGTACATCTTGAATGAACAGACAGTATAATTTCAGGAAACACATGATTGAGTGAACCTGTAAAGAACCAGGTCATTTTTCACCTCTGTTTTAAATGTAATATGCAGGACACTGCATTTTGCATGAAGAAAAATGTCTATTTAACGGTTTCCCCGTTAATGGCAGTACACAAATCAGTGTAGCACCAGACTTTGAAATGTGCAGTGCTCATGTTTATTTAATGAAATCATAGCCTTTTGAAGTTTAATCGTCACATTAAACCATATCGCAATTCTGGTCTTTCCGTCCCCAAATTTAAGACCTCCTGAAATCATAATTAAGACTTTCTTGTACAATTTAAGACTTTTTATGGCCTTAAATTTGATACAACTAAATGCAAGACTTTTTAAGGACCCGCGGAAACCCTGTTTAGGGACCATTAATGTATGTAAAAAAAATTTTTTTCATTATACTGTCATTGCAAAAATACTTAAAAAATAATTGTGATGATAAGTTATAACTGAATGACTGTTTTAATTATTGATTATTATTAGAGATTAGTTAGAGATTATTTAAAATCGTAAAATAGTTTATACATATTTTTAAATAGTAAAATAAAGTGGGACCCGCGGAAACCCTGTTTAGGGACCATTAATGTATGTAAAAAATTTTTTTTTCATTATACTGTCATTGCAAAAATACTTAACAAAAAATAATTGTGATGATAAGTTATAACTGAATGACTGTTTTAATTATTGATTATTATTAGAGATTAGTTAGAGATTATTTAAAATCGTAAAATAGTTTATACATATTTTTAAATAGTAAAATAAAGTGTTACTCATTAAATAAAGCAGTACTGAATTTAATTTATGCGGAGAATGACATTTTTCAAAATTAATGAGAACCTTGAGGGAAATGGTTTAATTTTCATGAAAATACAACACAGTCATTTATACGTGAGATTCAGTTATTGCTGTACATCAGCCAAGAAAAGTAACAATCAACCTGAGGTTCTAAATGACAAGAAAAAATTCAACAGGAGGCACAGATATATATGTGCGTGCTCAGCAAAAGACAATTATAGACTTTTTATTCAAACACACACACACACACACACACACACACACACACACACACAC